CCGCTGCTTTCCCTCGGGGCCTGCAAGCCCGTCGCCCGCGGAGCCCTCGGGCCCGAGTCCAGCCCTGGCCTGAGGCAGGTGCAGCCCTGCCCGGACCCTCCCCAGCCCAGCTGCCCCCGAGGGCCTGGCCGGCGGGCACATACCTAGCGCTGCCAGGCAGAGCCAGGAGCCCGCAGCCAAGGCCTGCCTCTGGCAGTGCTGCCAGGAGGGCCCCTGCAGAGGGCCTGCCAGGGGAGGGGAAGGCAGCCCCCCAGTCTGCACCAGTCTGACTAGGGGGGATTCCTTCCTGACCCCAAATCTGGCATGAGTCCCATGCTGAGCAGAGGGGCAAGAGCGTCAAGCTGGGAACCTGGGGCGCTGGTTGCTGGCGCGCCCCGATCGGTCAGAGCGGCGTTCAGCTCAAAGCACCGTCTGTAGCGTTTCTCTTAACCCGGCAGAGACGGGACTTGGGGCAGAGCTGAGTCTGTGGCCACGTTGCCAGCCGGATGCCTCCCCCACCTTTCAGCTGCGGTCCCAGGTGTCACTGCATGCTTGGCTCCTAAGTTCCAGCCATAATGGAGCAGCCAAGATTTCACCTGTCGTCCTTTATAGAAAGCTAAACTTGTGCTAACACAAGTGAGTGTAGGCTGGCACTCTCCATGGTGAAATGAGGGACATCCCAATACGCTGCTTAGATGTAAGGGAACTTTGGATTTTGCATTTGTGATTGTGCAGTTAACACCTGCTGCCTTGTTCAGGCGCTGGAGAGTTGAGGCTTACATCTTCAGTTTCAACTTTGTCACTGCTTAGTGCCCGCCTGCTTTCCCTCCCACACACTGTGCAACTTTAATGTTTCCTCAGCATAGTGTTTGCCTTGTATTTTTTTTCAGCAAATAGTATATGATGAAGTGCAGAGTTGGGTGAGCTAATGTTGTGTGGACAGCATGTTCTGCAGATGTCTCCTTTTCAGCTATTCTCCCAGTTTTAAAGACTGAAAGACTGACACTAGTTTAGGAAGGCAGCTTTTTGGGTTTGTTCTTGAAAATTGCATCTGTATATTCCTCCTGGTACCATTCCAGAAAAGCAGGGCATGTGGGACAATGCAGCCTGCCCTATGCACCAAAGGTTCAGAACCAAGACTATAAGAAACCATTGCGAAGTCCAGTTGCTTTAGTTTCTTCTTTTTCATGGTTAGTAGTGAGTATAAGGATCTTAGCTCAGGCCAACACGAGATTTATGTGCAATTCCCAGTGCGGATTGATCCTGAACATAATGGATGCTGTGGGGAAATTGCACCAGTGTGAACCTGGAAAGGGATAATTCTAAAAGAACGGCAGTTACTGATAGGTACCATTTCCACATTTTCCCACTTACTTCCTGTCCTCCTGTTGTCTTGAAAAGCACTGAATTGATTTATGGCTTGTCTGTTTGGGTGCTTTACCCCATTTTGAACTAGGTCATATCAGTGTAAAAATATCTGTTCATATGAAGTAGTTCCTTAGAGTGACATAGCAAGTGAATTATTATGGTATTTTTACTCCTGTTGGAATTAGCAGTAATTTCCCCTTGCAGGAACGTGCATATGGTTGCGTCTGTCATCTGAGCTATTGTGACAGTCCCACACTGCTTTGCACCTTGGCCTGACACCCTGGTCTGTTTTTCTGTGTGACATCAACTGTTCTGGATTCATAGTGACTAGCTGCACCTTCCCCCTGCGTTAGACTGCTGGTGCATAGCCAGATTCTTTCCATCATTTGCACTCCCACTTTGGGATTCAGTATTCCTAACAAGCATATCTAGCATTTTATTCTAGCCCTGTGCAGTGCCTCTGTGATGTGCCTCTTCTAGCTGAAGTTGTGACGAGGTTTTGGATCTCTTCATCTTTTGGGAAGAGAAGAAGTTAGGGGAAGCCCTGGAGACCAGTACAGAAACAGAGATATTTTTGAGGGAAACAAGAAGATGGCTGAGGGAGATCACATCCAGTATGCTATGCCCTGTCATATTCAAACAAAGTATATGAAGATGGCTCACACAAAAAGCAGTGGACAAGAAATGAAGCCCTGGTGATGCTTGAGCCACTTGTCCATTTTAAGATGAGCTGGACAGGATTTGGACCCAGGACAGCAGCTTTGAACCACACTTCATCTCAGACATGGCTGATATATAGGAATACTTGAGGACCATGCGACTAAGAACCCTTTGCAGGAAGATGGACCTTAGCCAGGAATTCACTGATACAAAGGAAAGTGACTGAGATCGTGTTGAAATGGACCTGGACACAACCTCTAGCCCCTTGGCCAGGCAGATTTCTATCCTTGAAAACCCTCACGCTGTCAGCACTGCAGCTTAGTAAAAGTTATTGGTATTGCATATTGTAATATTCACATAGTATTTCTATTTTCCCCAGAGCTAAACATCACCATCTTTGGGTTACAGTAATACTTTGTGTACTCAGAATGTTGACTGCCCTGGGTGAGAATCGGGGATCCAGGTTTTATATTTGACACAAAAATGCGGTAAAACCTGGATTTTCTAATTTTAAGGAGAAAAGTCAAACCCAGATTTTCTCCTTTTAAAGGAGAAAAACATGGAAAATGGTGGGTTTTCCCTTGCAGGCTGGCAGAGTTCCAGCCTGCAAGGGGCTGAAGGGAATGGGAGGAGGGCGGTCAGGCAGGGGGTGCCATTTGCATGTGTGCACATATACATGCACATGGCCTCCAGACAGCCTGGATAGCAGCTCCTGCAGGTAAATCTGGTGGCTGGGGGGCGGGTGGGGGAGGGGAGGGAGTTGGCTGGGGCTGGGGGCCCGGGCAGCGTGGGGGGGTTGGGGGCCAGGGGGGCTGCCTGCTGCAGGCTCAGGGCTCCCTGCCATGCTGCCCTCCCCCTGGGGCCTCCATAGCGCAGCAGGGCAAGGAAGCTCCATGCCACCACCGCAAATCCTGTGCTACCATGGGGAGATACCCCTTGCTTGCCTGGCAGTAGCGAGAGGTACAACTCTGGCCACCACCCCTGCTACTATCGGGCAGGCAGGGGGCGCTTTACCATGGTGGCACTTGGCTCACGGTGGTGGCATCGAGCTTCAGCACCCTGCTCTACCCTGGTGTGCTGGGTCTCGCCCACTGGGCCCCAGGGGAGGGCAGGAGGGTGGGGAGCTGGAGCCCACAGCGGGCAACCTGTCTCCATGCCCCCCCACCATGGGTTCTACTCCTACCATGCCATACATGGGGGAGGGGGAAGCAGCTGCCACCTCCAGAGCTTAGGCACTGCTGCGGGGTAGCAGGGGTCTGCGGACCTGGATCCCTGGCTCCATCCAGGAGGGCTGGGGGGCAGGGGGCTGTGGGTGGTGAGTGAGGGGCTGTGGATGGCATGTGAGGGGCACTGGCAGGGCCAGGGGTCTGTGGATAGGGCATATGGGGCACCAGTGGTGGGGAGGGTGGGCTGTGGGTGAGGGATTTTGGGGGTTTTAATCAGAGATTTTGCAAATTTTTTATCACATAATTTGCAATTTTTAAACAGAAAACCAGGATCCCTGGTGAGAATGCAGTGCCTAACCCATCTGCATTGCAATGCCCCACCTGCCAGCTGGTCCCCTCT